GTAACGACGAGCGAAGGACCGAGAGCGTGGGAGGAACGAGGGGATCGAGAGGAAAAAAAAAGGACACGCGCGTACTTCCCGCACAATCGACTTTTACACATTCCATTTCTTATCGCAAGTTCCTCTTTCTCCTAACAGTCGCAAGTCTCGATACAGTTCTCTTTCCGCGACGAAATAACGCACCGTAAGCAAGTATATCCGGGAAGTTTGGGCCATTGAACCGTGCTGCTGGCGAATACAATGAGCGACCGAACATGTAGACACGGCCACTGACCGGTGTTCGCCGGTGTACCCCAGCCGATAGCCCCGACAGATATGTCGTCCCCTAATAGAAAATTGGCCCAAGGGCCGTGACCGCGTATCGACGTTACGTCAAGTCACGGCACGTCGATCGTAATATCGACATTATGAAATAATTAGCGTTGTCACGGCGCAGAAGAACGATATGATCGATCGATGAAATCGATCGCTTTATCCAATCGCCGTAATTCCACAGCCCGCTAGAGTATCCGGAACACGCGCGCGCGCGCACGCACGCGCGCACGCACGCACGCACGCACGCACGCACGCACGCACGCATGCACGCACCATTCCCATTTGTTCTGCATTACGTGGAGCATAGTAATTGTCCTGTCTACAAAAAACACCGCACACGCAAATACGAGTCGCGACGACGATCGCGACGAGAAAAGCAAGATAGCCGCGAAAAGCTATGTCAAGCGGACAAATTTATCGAGGGACTATCGGATTGTCGTCGCGTTCGCTCCGCGCAAAAATAATTTTGACTTTCGACTTAAAAAGACACGTAATTAAATCCTACGAGACAAAAACAATCAACAAAAACGTACAGAATAAAAACGCGCTTGTCACAAATACGCATACTAATTTATTTATCGGAAATTCGATTATAAACTTCCCTTCTAAAAAAGGGATAACAGATAACAATGAAGGGACGAAATTACTCGGTTCGAGAAATGTCAATGGAACGCTGAGAATTTCTCGATAAGCCAATGAAGTAAATAATTAAATTTGTTTCTCGTTAAATAAAAACGACCGGGATTTCCCGTAAAAATTCTCTAACGATTACTTCATTCGACATTCATGATTCATAACTTAACTCGTTTTAGTCTCTCTAATTACATTTTTTTTTATCGCGTCCCGCAACAGATGTACATCGCTCTAAATTAATTTTGTGGAATGTTAAGTAATATGATTGCATTGCCTCGACCCGCTTCTTTCTTCTTCGCCACGAACGTGACGATGGAGATGTGACAAATGCCAGAAAGGGTTTAGACGCCTCGTGGACATAAGAATGCGTGAGGAGACAATTTAAGAGAATTAAGAGTTAATTGCCTTGAATTGAAAATTTCGCCGCCAATTGAGGCGGGACGAGTATATTACGTGGAAATAGAAAAACGTGTCAGTGCGATTGAAACTATGTGATGAAAATAGTCGCTTGATAATGCATCTCGGACTTCTTCTTCCAGTCACAGTAGAATTGATCAACGAGCCTGTTTATCGCCGTGGCGATCAAACGGCGCATTTGACGCGACGAGCATTTATGTTATCCAACATAAACGACGGCGTTTATTAAATGTCATCGAGTCGGAAACGAATCGTTAATTATGAGAAAATTTTTCCGCGAATCACGCGAGAAATTTCAATCGAAGCACGTGCCTCCTAGGCAATAGGTAAACCAGATCGACGAAAGTAATAGGGTCTTGCACCAACGTGGCTGTGTCATAACACGCTCAACAATGTCATGCCGTTATTACGAGACACAGCACTTGCATGCGGTTGCACTATTACTGGTAATTTCTTAATGACTGCGGAATGCTGGGCCGTTCGAAGGGAGTGAAAGTCGCAGCTGAACGGCTGAAGCTCGCGGTGGTAATCGCGATGCCTCGAAGGTTTTGCACGAGAATGAGACGTTCTCTGTCAATATCTAATCACATCGGATGTAAAATAAAAAAAAAATCATCCCAACTGAATTCAGATTATCCAAATGTTGTTATTATCAATTAGAGGATAAAAGACCGTCGGAGAGAATAATCAAACTCGTTCACAAAACAGATGAATAAGAAACAACGATTGTCCAGTTCATCAACATAACATTAGCGTTGGTTACGAGACGATACAAGCTATAAATATCTAGCTTTCTTTCTTCTGTAAGAGCACGGGACCTTCGGTCCATTCTTCTGTGCTATGAAGAATGCATGTTTTCAACTGTCTGAGCGATACGACCGCATCCATCATTCGCGATGATAAACGACTGCGAGAACGGACGTAAAAATGATACGCCGATAGTCCGCCGATAAAGCAAAAAGTACCGCAAGACGCGCGAGGTCTATAAATAACGTAACAACGCTAATGAAGCCCTCGTTATTATCACGCCCCGCCGCAATCGGACGGGTCTCTAACGACTTGGAATTCTTGCTTTCATCCGTACTGATTGATAACGCGAAACAATAACGGATAACGCGGATACAGCGATATTATTCTACACCGGGCGACAATCAAATCAGATTTTTCGTAATTCGATAGCTTATGATTGATGATAAAATGATCTCGTGTAATATCGGGCAAAGAGCCATTGTCTATCGCACGAGCTGCAGGTCGAAGCCGAAGGCTGCGACGAAGGATCAGGTTGGTTGGTTGGTTGGTTGGTTGGCTGGCTGGCTGGCTGGCAGGCAGGCAGGCAACCGACGGCGACGGGGATAATTTAACCATGTGGCGAGGAGCCGGTTTTCCATGGCGGCCTATCACGAAAGTTGCGCGCGCGGAGGTACGACGAACCGGAGGGATGAGTCACGGCTGTTCTTTTCTCTTCCCACTCCCTTTCTGTCGCGCCGAGGTCGCGGCGGCGGCGGCGGCGACGACGAGGGAGGGAAGAGAGACCACGGCCGCGCACGCGAGAGCACAGCTGAACCGTGGGGCTGCCAGGGAGGAAGATGAAGAGGAAGGTGGCGACGGCGATGAAGGAAACGAAGGAGGATCAACCGTCGCGAGATCCCGCGGCTACGCACGTCGCCTACACGCGGCTACGAGCTCTCGAGCGAGAACGAGATAAGACGAGAAGCTGCGCGGGACGACAGAAAAAAAATTCGCGAGAGAAACGAGAAGGAAGGCGAGAAACCAGCGTCGCTACTTATTTATACATCCGCCGGCAAATATGGATTTATCGCGGCTGCCTGCCTGCCTGCCTGCCTGCCTGCTCGCATTGGCCGGAAAGAGTTACAGTCGATTCATTGCCGCCTCCGGATAATTAAGTATCTCGCAATGTGCTTTTTCAGAACGCAGCAGGTGAGGTACAGGAAACGCTTCACCTCGTTATCAACACTCTTAATATTCTTTCCTAGAGACGAAACGAATCAATCGCGAAGTAGCCGAATTTTCTTAAGAAGGAATATGTAAATCACGTTGCAAAAATTGCTAAGATCGTGCGACATAACGTCACAACTTAGTCGTTTGTTATATCCGTAATTTTTTCCAAAATTTGATCGCGACCCAATTGAAAGTTCCGGTTAAAATTTCGATGCATTCCTATGACGAAGGGGCATCATCGTTGCGCGATCATCGTCAATCCATATCGCTCGACATAATCGCGCTGATCGAGGTATAAAGCGCGCGTAACGTGGAATAGCTTGTTAAGCCACGACGAAGATTAATAATAACGTCTCCAAAGTGAGCTCCATCATTCACGGAGCTCGTGAAAGGCCGTCGCGTCGTTGTAATGGCTACGCCGACAGCGTCACGAGGTATAACGTGTAGCTGCATAATACTTCATCATTTCCCTGCGCGACAATGATATGATACGAATGGCCCTCCTCTCGCCGATAAATGCGCAAACCGAGGAATCGTGAGCGAGACCGACGAATAACTTCGTTAACGCGAGAGGCCTCCTCGCCTCGCGATTCGATCACTTCTACCAAATAAATCTCCGATAATCGCGGGCGTCTTCGAGATTTATCGGAGACGTCCCGAGGCCAATTAGGCACCGTCCGAGAACTCTCTCGATCCCGTGACGACTATCACGTGATATCCGTCCGTGATTATCTCTCTCGCCGTGCGGCGAGCGCGCGGATCGCGGCACGAACTCCAAGGGAAAACACGAAGTGTACGCTTGATCAAACACGGGCCGTTATTGGCCGAGACTTTTTCGACGCGGCCGGCCGGATCGATTATTCGGTCGCGGCGACGATTATGCGCGGCCGGGAAAAAGATCGAGGAAGTCGGAACGGGGTCGCGGCGATTCATTGCCGCTCGTAAAGTCGACCGCCCCGTTTTTCTCCGCGTCACGATCGTGCACCTCATCCACGGCCACCTTGTCCTGGAACTCGTGTGCACGCACTGGAGCGATACGTGTTTCCACGACGGAAGTCGTTCGACGAGGGAAAACATCTCGCTCGCAACGGGCAATAACTCGTGCCCGGCGCGTTATCGAAACGCGTTGCGTAACGCCCATCGCGCGGACTCTATTCGTCGCCGCGCCGATAACAAGGAGTGGCAATATCGGCAACAAAATTGAAAATTGGCGACTTTTTTTCAAGAATAAACGCAAATGCACGGCGCGATATCAAAGAGCGGGCGTAATTAGAGCACGAGCAAAATTGGACTCGATACCCGTGCGCGAGCGAAACAATTATTTAGCGCGAAAACACGCGATTGGTGTTATGAAATTTAGTAGAGACGAAATTATCCAATTATATATTACTAGCAGTTAAATTACGGAAATAATGTTTCAATTACGAGGGAAACGTTTTCAAAACGAACTACTATCGAATAATGAAAAAAACATACTTGCAAATGTAACATCTCGCTCTCCCGAAAATGAGAGGTAACAAAATTTTCGCAATCCTAATAACAGAGAAATAATAACGTTAAAAATAACACTCTATGTTTATTTTGAGAAGTGTCGTGTTTTTGCAAGTACGCTTTTTGTCACTCCATCAGTCGGAGTAACACAACACGCTCGTGTAGATTCTTTCGGAACAACTCACCTCTGCGAGTGGCTCTTCCTTAGTGACATCTCCATTCTTGGGCGCTTCATCGCGGCTCGGCTTGGTCTTGTCCTTCTTGCTGAAGCTGATCGACCTGAAGGACCACTTTTTCTTCTAGAAAATGAGAAAACACATTTTATAGCGGTCGGCAGATTCATCGCGTATATAATTGCGCGCGTACTTGTGGTATCAGTAGATACGTAAGACTTGTGAATCAAGATAAACGCGAATATATTTCAACGTGACGTAATACGAAGAAAATGTATTTGTCAAAACCACGATTAATTAAACCCTAATCGGCGAGCGCAGATGCGAGTCGCTTTACCTTATCCTTCTTTTTGGTTTCTTTATTGTCTGGAGAAGTGGCAGTGTTCGGACTGGCAGGGGTGGCCTCTGTGGGCGTCGTGACCTCAGCAACCTCCGCAGGAGAGTCTCCAGACGACTCTTGCTTCGTCTCCTCGGCTTTTACCTCCTCCTGCTGCGGCTGCTGAAAGTAGAGATAAAGCCTCCTTCGAATCTCATCCTCCAACGTATAACGTTAATCCCACGCGAATAACGAATACCTGCGATTCGAGTGATAAACATGCTCTCGATGTATAATAAATGTAATATATGAACGTCCTTTTGCGGCAAAATAAATTATCGGAGCTTTAAAATCAATCGTTGAAAGAATCTCAAAAATAATATTTTATTTTATCACAAAGATTTCCTTATTTCCTTATAAAACGTAAATGAGAAAAGAAGACTATAAAAAATGAACGGTATCGTTCGCAAGATATATTACACGTCGTAAATTGTGAATCCTATATCGTAAATCGATACTTTGTAAAGCCACAATGTATGACTTCTCGCGGTAATACTTCCGAGTCCTACCATTTTGCGAGATGATAGCGCTTGAGAATCATCCGATAGCTGCTTTCAACGCGCCTCCTCACGCGATATATTTAAGGTCGTTAAAGTGAGATCAAAGTACCTTTCCCACCTTAAAATCATCTTAAAATCGTAGACCTCATTTACAACTTTATTACTACCGTTCGCTTTGCTACGTTATCATTAACAAAATATTAAATGTAAATTGCAGTAACACCGACAGCTTTGACGAGGAATTATGTTATCATCAGAGAGCTAATTAGAAATCGATATAAATTTTTCATTAACTTAAATTACAAAGTTGACATATAATATCGTAGAAAAAAATAAAATTATCTCGATTTTTCAATAATCTATCTCGATATTTGAATCCTGTTAATTTATCACGAAAACGTAGAAGCTACGCGATATCGAAAATCCGGTTATCTCGTTCCCCGTAAGTTATAGTTGCGCAAAACCGATTACACGGGCATTACTCTTCGCCCGCGAGCGTATACATTTCCGTGATGATACTTGTATACTCGTCGAAAGTTTCTCATCTTGCGTCCGGAAGTACCGCAGCTACGCCGGAATGAAGTCGCTTAACTCTTTCCCATCGTGTCCCGAGGCCCATCACTTATAAATAATATCAAACTTCCATGAATCGGGTTAGTTTTAAAGTGCGGAAAGTGCGCCGTGCACGACACGAGTTACACGGACACGAGAGGCTCTTTTGTCCCGGTCCTGAAAGGCCCTCGACGGTCTCTCTCTCTCTC